TTTTCTGATGAAGGGTCTAGGCCCGAAACGTCAGCCTCTCTGCTCCTATGATGCTGCTTGGCCTGCTGTGTTCATCCAGCCCTGCACCTTGTTGTCTCGGATTCTCCAGCATCTGCAGTTCCTACTATCTCTGATAGTGTTTAGACCAGGTTGGTTTTAGTTTATTGTAGTAAAAGACTTACATTTTGAAATCTTGCCAAGTGATTCTTCCAGTCAGTCTGTACAAATTTGAGCATCTTTCCAAAAGTATCAGTTTCTATGGGAATCCACCTTAAATAAAGAGACCAAAACCGTACACGGTACTATAGGTATCATCTCACCAAACTCCTGCACAGTTGTGGTAAATCATTCCTACTTTTATTTTGCATGCCCCTTGCACTAAAGACCACCATGCTCCATTTGCCTTGCTAATTACTTGCTTTCATTGCATGCTAACCTTTTGTGATTTATATATGAGCAGTCCCTCTCATCATTCTGCAGTATCTGTCCATTTGGATAATCTGCTTTTTATTCTTCCTTTCAAACTAGTCAACCTCTTATTTTTTCACATATATCCTTTATTCATTAATGGGATGAGGACATCACTGGCTAGGCAGCATTTATTGTCCATCCCTAATTGCCCAGGGGACAGTTCAGAGTCAACCACATTGCTGTGGGTCTGGAGTTACGTAGGCCAGACCAGACCAGGTAAGGATAGCAGTTTCCTTCCCTAAAGGACATTAGTGAACAAGATGGGTTTTTCCCGACAATCAACAAGGGCTTCATGGTCGTCATTCAATTCTTAGTTCCAGATATTTGGTGGAATTCGAATTGCACCATCTGCCGTGGCAGGATTCGAACTTGGGTCCCCAGAATGTTATCTGGGTATTCTGGATTACCAGCCCATCGACAATACCACGAGGCAGTGGCCTCCGTGTGTGTGTGTGTGTGTGTGTGTGTGTCCGTCCGTCCGTCCGTCCGTCCATATATTCAGCTGATATATTTTTGCTGACTCACTTAACCATCTATATCACTTTGCAGAGTAGTCCAAATTTCTTTTTAACACCTTTCTTTACCGATAGGGGTATCATCAGTAAATTCTTGAGTTTGTTCAGAAAAGTACGAGGTCCACTTTGACAACTGTGTCCTTGGTCTCCTACAATGTCTTAATAAAACTGAACAGAGCTACAGTAACTGCACCTTAATTTTGTAGTAGGCAGTTTACAACCTTCCAAACGCAACGTTGAGTTAAACAACTTCAGATCATCACCACCTTTTCGGTTGGTGGCTATAATAATTGTGCTGTTGCCATTTATACGTCCTTTAGGCCTATCTTTTGTTTATTTACTTATATGACTACTAACTCTTTTGGCCATGTATTCTTTGTCATTTAATTTGTTTTGCTTTCCAACCTCTTAAAGATATTCCCATTTTGTCATTTCTAGCCCATTTCCCTGCCTCTTAAATTGCTTAAAATCTGTTTTATCTCTAATTCAGGTCTTCCCAAAGTAGGGTTGCTGACATTTTGGGATCATGACCTCCAAGTCAGCAATGGCTGCTGCAGAACTCTGACTGAATTATAACAGTTGTATGTATTACAGAACTCGCTGGATTCAGGGAGTTCCAACAGATTGCAAAACTGCTCATATGGTACCGTGTTCAAGAAGGAAGGGATAAAGAAAATGGGAAACTATAAGCTGGTTAGCTTAACTTTGTTGTTAATGCAAGTCCATTATTAAGGAAGATCTAGCAAGACATTTAGGAAAGTTTAACACAGTCAAACAGAATCAACACAGCTTTGTGAAAAGGAAATTGTGTTTGACAAATTTGATTGAGATCTTTGAGGATATAAACAGAGTTAATAAAGGGGAACCAGTAGAAGCAGTATGTTTGGATTTCCAGAAGGCTACAATAAGATGCCACAAAAGTTTTTTGCGCAAGATAGGAACTCACAGTATTGGTGATAATGTATTGGCATAGATTAAGGATTGGTTAACACACAGAAAATAGTGTGTCAGGTTTAATAGATCTTTTTCAGGTTGGAAAAATATAAATAGGGTGCCACCAGGGTCAGTGCTAGGACATCAGTTATTTACCATCTATAGCAATAAATTAGAGAAGGGGTCAGCATAATGATTGAAATTTGTTGACAAAACAAAAAAAATTGGGGTGAAAGATATGAGGAATCTGCAAAGGTGATGTAGATAAATTGAATGAGTGGCTTAAAACTTGGCAAATGAAATTTAATTTGGAAAAGTGTGAGGTCATGTACTTTGGTAAGAAAAATCAAAAGGCACACTATTGTTTAAATGGAGAGAGATCCAAAAAAAAAGTGCAGCACAAGGAAATCTGGGTTTGCTTGTATATGAAACACCAAAGTTTAGTGTGCAGATGCAGCAGGTAAATAAGGTGACAATAGACATTTAGCTTTTACTGCTAAGGGGGAGGTGCAGGTGGAACTTAAAAATAGGAAAGACTTGTTGCAACTGTGCAGGGTATTGGTGAGGCCTGGAGCACTGCATATAGTTTGGACCCTAAATTTAAGAAAGGATATACTGGTATTGGAGGCAGTTCAGAAGAGACTCACTCCGCCTATTGCTGGGATAAGGAGTTGACTTATCAATAATGGCTAAACAAGTTAGGCCTTTATTCATCCATGTTTAGAAGAATGAAGGGTGATCTTATTGAAATGTACAAGATCTAAAGGGCCTTTGCATATTAGATTTTAAGAATATGTTTTGACTAGTAGGGAATCTTGAATGAGGGGTCATAGTCACAGAATAAGGGACATTCTTTTAAAATTGAGATACAAACAAATTTCTTATCGCTAAGGCTAGGAAATGTCTACCCAGAAAGTTTTGGAATCTAGATCACTGAACGTATTTAAAGAGGAGGTAGATCGATTTTTGAAATGTTGAGGAGCTGGCATGAAAGAGGAGTTGAGGCCTGGGGCAGAACAGACATGATCTTGTTGAATGGCTTATTCCTGCCCTATTTCATGTTCTTATTCATAGGATAATATCACTGGCATCAGTTTACCCTGCTTGGTTAAGTACATTTATGTACATTTAATAAAATATCAGTACCTGTGAATTAAAATCATGCAAGACCTACAGACAATGCATGTAGGTGAAATAATAGGTTTGTCACGTTACAGTAAGGCACAGTGCATGCTATGCTATTGCTGTAGATTTTAGCAGGCTCTGAGAAATTATAGAACTAAAGCCTTTAACAATGAGAGTCTGTCTTTTAGCCTATGTTACCAACATTTAGCAGATTAATTTAGTTTCACCAGTTGATTTTTCACAGCTCCCATGTTCTCTTGTGAAAGAGAAAATACAATTTAATGAAAATGGAAGTGAGGGAGGGGGGCGTTGCTCTTGCCGGATGAGAGTCTGAAAGCCAAGTATGCAGCTCCAGACATAAATCTGCGTAATTTTGTTGAAGGACTGTGCGGTTAGAATTACATAGAAATTGAATTTTCAGTAGTGTGTTTCTGTCTGATCCTTCACTCCAGTTAACTATTTAGGTGACCCAGTGTTGACTAAATTGGGGAAGATCTTGCGCACAGTGGCTCAGTGGTTAGCACTGCAGGCTCACAGCGCCAGGGACCCGGGTTTGATTCCACCCTCGGGCGACTGTCAGTGTGGAGTTTGCACATTCTCCCCATGGCTGCGTGGGTTTCCTCCAGGTGCTCCGGTTTCCTCCCACAGTCCAAAGATGTGCCGGCTAGGTGGATTGGCCATGCTAAATTGCCCGTAGTGTTCAGGGGTGTGTGGGTTGTAGGGGGATGGGTCTGGGTGGGATGCTCCAAGGGTCGGTGTGGACTTGTTGGGCCACAGGGCCTGTATTCTCACTGCAGGCATTCTATGATTCTATGAAAGATAAAAAGGGAAGTTGCATGAAATTTTAATTTTTGCCCATAGAACATTGTGTTGATATTGTGACCAGGATTTCCCTGCAGTGTAATGGTATATGTATAACCTTTTCACACTATATCCACTTGAGAAAATTCTAAGCAATGCACCTCGTTGCTTTTGTCCTTCCCCAGAATCTGCATTTCTGTCCAGAAAAGAACTTGTTTATTAAAACGTTAGAATGCTGCTCGCTTGTTTATAGAGTCACTCGTACTAACAGCAACAATTTGAATTGAGTTGATGTATCACAGAAAAAACATGCTGACCCAATTAGTTTGGCACAAATGTGTTTCACTGTTTCTCATAGGTGCTGAGAGATGAAGTAAACTTAAGTGACAATATTGTGTTTTCCGGAACTATTCTTCTTTGTGTCATTGGTTTTCTGGGTAACTATTGTTATACGACATGGTGTAGTGCTCCTTATGCCATCTCTTCTGGAATGTCATCAACTGAAAACATCTATAGGGAGTCTGTATAAGTTTTTACGAGGCCAAAGTTATAGATATTTGCTTTCATTTCAAATCGTTCCAACAAGTAAATGCAAGGAAATAGTTCCTTGATAGTCACTTGTTAAGTACAACTTAAATGTGTGTTATCTA